TGTCCCAGCACGTGAGACATGTATTTACTTGGCATAATGTCCTGTCTTGTTGTGCGTTTGCGTGAGTGCACCTTTAGGTCTTACTTTAACTTACTTTAGGTCTAACTTTTGTAACGTCTACTGCCATTGTTAACGACCAAGACAAATTTCTCCCTGCGAGATGAGTATAAAGATTGTCATTGTCATTAAATGTCATTGTCAAACAATGTTCGGGAGTGGTTATCTCCCCCCGGCAGGTTGTTATCTCCCTGTGCCCCAAGGAGGTTGTTTTAAGCTCCTTGCTGTGCCAGAGTCGAGTGGGCGGTTAGAGGGCTGCTCCCGACTGTGTCAGAGTGGCCCCAACTCAACAGGCACAACTATAATACTATTATAAGCCTTCTACTTTTCACGTTATGAAACAGCACGAAAAAATAATCCACGTTTTTTTTTTTTTTGGTAGAGACAACTTTGTGCGACGTTTTGTCATTGTTCTTGCTCTAGTTCCTGCTGATAGTTGTTGTTTTTTTTGGAAGGGGGGGGGGTTGTTTTAAAAAGACAAGGTTTTTAAAATAAAATTTCATGTCTATTTTCCCGAATGGGCAGAACTAATTGTTGATCCAGTATCTTTGTCTAAAACATACATTGTATAGTTAGTCGGAAAAGCACATTATGTTTCGTCTTGGCTTCATTTCTGTTGTGTGCGAGGGGGGAGGGGTATAACCTCCTTGAGGGGTACACATTCACACGTTTCATTTACATGTGTATTTAGGCTTAACAATGACGATACAGTAAGTAAACTCGAATCATATCTTTTAACCATTGATTTTCTTCCCCCACAGGTGAGAAGGAAGGAAGAGCCAGGTGTAGAAATGAGGAGAAGTTCTTTGCTACTCATCGCCGTCATCGTCTGTTCCATCGGGCTCGTTGAGGCAGAAAAGACTGACGGCCAAGGTGAGGAAAGTGTACTAGTAATACAAATAATGATAATAATAATAATAATAATAATAATAATAATAATAATAATAATAATAATAATAATAACAATAATGATGCTAATAACAATAATAATATTAATAATAACAATAATGATAATAATAATAATTGTCTCGGAACACAGCACTACCAAATATTCCAACTAATATTATTACGATGGAATAAATACGAACTCCTACCTTTTGAACTGGATACTGGATACCTTTTTTTTTCTTGAAGAAGAAGAGCAGGGCCTAGGGCCTACTTGATTTTCCGTAAAGCGTGTTGACTTTTAATAGCTCTGTCCCTCCCTCGAGCGAGAAGAAATTATTGACTACCTTTCGGCTGGAGGTGTTTGACCTTCTCTCTCTCTCTCTCTCTCTCTCTCTCTCTCTCTCTCTCTCTCTCTCTCTCCCTCTCTCTCTCTCTCTTTCTCTCTCTTTCTCTCTCTCTCTTTCTCTCTCTCTCTCTCTACTCTCTCTCTCTCTCTTTCTCTCTCTCTTTCTCTCTCTCTCTCTCTACTCTCTCTCTCTCTCTCTCTCTCTCTCTCTCTCTCTCTGTGTGTGTCATCTGATTGTTAGTGACAAGTTGTGAGTGACTGACTATATATAAGATAAGCTCACGCGAGCTTCCCTTGCACGAGACTTTCGTGACCCGAGCAAATCTCGATTACCCCCCCCCCCACCCCCCACCAGCCGGGTTGCCAGGAAATTTGTCAATGTTAAGAAAAGTGGCCAAGTATCCACAACAACAACAACAACAACAATAATGATAATAATAATAATAATAATAATAATAATAATAATAATAATAATAATAATAATAATAATGATACTACTACTACTACTACTACTACTACTACTACTACTACTACTACTACTACTACTACTACTACTACTACTACTACTACTACTACTACTACTACTACTAAAAGTACTAGTAATAATAATAATCATAATACAATAACTGTAATAATAATAATAATAATGATAATAATAATAATAATGATAATAATAATAATAATAATAATGACAATAATAATAACTGTAATAAACAGTATTATCTTATTAGGCCAAACCTTACTCTTCATTCAATATTAATACATTTTCTGTTACTTTCTTTGTCTTCCCTGACAGATGTGACCTTGCCCGCCTCAGAAAGCCCAGTCGCCACAGCAAGTGAACCCCTGGCGGACAGAACTGACTCCCCGGTGACGTCACAGAATGACGTCAGAGACAGAATCTCGAGCTTTCTGGATAAGCTGAGATCCCACCTGGAAGATCTGAAGGAGAAAATCGAAGAGAGGAGAGAGGAGATCAGAAACAAGACGGACTCCCCTCGAGATGTTTTTGAAGACATCGTCGATCGTTTGCATGAAGCGATTGGGTACAATGCTTCCAAGAGTTTCCAGGAGAATCTAGACGATCTGAGAGACAGGATTGGCGACAATGTGGAGGAAGCGAGAGAAGAGATCAGGAAGCAGATTGATGCTATACGGCAGGCGCTAGAAGATTTGAAGAACTCTCGAAAAGACTCGTCTTCGAAACGGGACGAAGACAATAACGGCGAAGAAAAAGATGATGGGGAAGGAGATGAAGCTGATGAAGACGATGATGACACAAACGATGATGATGATGATGACAATGATAATGGCTTTCTGGGGCCTTCACAGAACGGTGAGGGGCCAAGAGAACGAATTTCGAAATTTCTGGACAAGTTCAGAACTCATCTGAAGGATTTGCGTGAGAAAGTAGAAGAGAGGAAAAACACAATCAAAGACGACTTGCCAGACTCGCCACGCAATGTCTTTGAAGAAATAATCGATCGTTTGCATGGAGCGATTGGATTCAACAATTCTAAATCTTTCGAGGAGAATTTGGATGATTTGAGAGAGAAAATTGGTGATGATATAGAAGAGGCGAAAGAGACCATCAGAAAACAGATTGATGCAATAAGGAAGGCGCTGGATGATTTGAGAAAGAAAGAGAGCAAAGATGAAAAGGACGACAACGATGAAAATGATGATAACAGTGGTATTGATTTATTGCAGGCTTCGCAAAATGATGGGGGTCCCAGAAATATAATTTCTAAATTCATTGAGATGTTGAGGTCTAGTCTGGACAGCTTGAGGGAGGAAACAGAAGAAAGAAGAGATGACGACGACAGTGATAAGAACATTTTTGATCGTTTGCTTGAAGCAATAGGGTTCGATTCATCTAAGAGTTTACAGGAGAATTTGGACGACTTGAGAGACAGACTGGGGGATAATGTTGAGGAAGCGAGAAAGACGATCAGAGAGCAGATTGATGCTATACGGAAGGCACTTGACGATTGGAAAGACAATCAAGATAAAGACAACAATGATGATGAAGAAGAAGAAGACAGCAGCAGCAGCGAAGAAGATGACAGGAATCTGTTTTCAACGGAGAAATTAGAAGCAGACTTTGTGAAGGCAGCCAAGGCACTCAACGAGTTTTCTGATTCGATGCGTGACAAAAAAGACGATTCCGGAGTTTTAGATTCCCGCAGCATGGACCAATACAAAGACCTGCTAAAAGACATGTTGGAAAAGAAGAAAGCAATGATACAAGGCAAAATTCGGGCCCGAGTAGCTGCAGAAGAAAGAACCCGCAACGTATTTGAAAAATCAAAGAAATCTGACAATGAAGAAGATAAAAAGCCCTTGGAGTCATCTGACAACGACGAGAACGATGCCTTTGCCGCGAGGAAAGCCCAGCTGAAATCTATTTTGAAGGGAAGTGGTCCGGGAAATCCCGCAGACGGACAGGGTGATGATGATGAGTTGACCCTAGCGGTGAACGTGGCACTCTTGAAAGAGTATGGACCCAGAATCCAAGAAGTTGCCGAGAAGAAAAAGGAGTTTCTCAAGGCGGAGGATGAGCTTAATGATCTAAGGAGTCATTCTTCTGGTCCTTTCAATCTGTCTAAGTTTAAAGATAAACTCAAAGAGATGCTGGAGAAAAAGAAAGATTGGATCTCCTCTAAGGATGGACTGAAACTTGACATTGTTGAGACCCTCAAGAAATTAGCGCGTGACCTCAGGGCCAGAAACTCTACTGTCAACCCTTTCGAGTTTTTCGATGTCCTGGATGCTCTCAGAAGCAGCTCCATGTCGCTCCCAGATCTCCTCAAGAAGTACAACGACAAACTCAAAGAAGCCGCTGAATGGAAGCGAAACTCGGGGTCCGATTCACAGTCCGGGAATTTCCTGAAATCCGCCCTTCCTTCCGGGGACGCCGCTCAGTCCGATGAAGACAACTCCGGAAAAGCCCGAAAGTCCATGGACGACAGTATCAACATGGCGGCTGCTCTCGGTGATGGAGGCGATAGTAAAGACTTCTCGGGGACCACGGCACTTATTGTGGTGGGGTGTGTGGCGGTGGCAGCCACGGTGGTTGTGGTGGGCGTGGTGGTTGGGCGTCAGAGGCGACGTCATCGTCTGTACAAGCGAATCCCCATCAAACAGGAGCAGAACCTGAAGGAGCATAGCAACCGATACGGGAGTGGATCTGAGAGGCCACTCGTTTGATTTCCTGAACAGAGAGATCTTATCCCACCTCACTGGCTAATAGGAGTGGTTTGTTTGTGGAAAAATAACACAGTCAAACAGTTATAAATTTGAAAACGTTATGCTTTAAAGTCTGAAACCTCATATTATCTTCCAAAGTATATAATGCTTTTTCCCCTATTCATTTTTAAAGGACGGTGTATTTGTCTATCTTTTCCGACTAAGAGAGATGTTCAACTTTCTCAGAGTATAATAAATAGTTCTCAAACAGGCCAGTCAAGAGCCTGACTTCTCAAATCAGCGGTGATCCCCCCTCCCTTTTACCGCCCCCTCCACCACCCCCTCCCCCTAAGCTTATTCAGCTCACTCATAACAAATGGGTATCATAGCCTGTATCAATAATGGATAACTTAACCTTTTCATAAACTAATAAATTTGAGAAAATGCGTTCAAAGTAGAGTAACGATCAAGTTCAGTTTCTCAACAATGACGTATCTCCTCCCTCCTTCAACCCCCCCCCCCTTCCCATGAAGTACAAGTCACAGTTTTGTAGTCAGTAAAGCTCCCCCCCCCTCCCCTTTCTTCATATTGATCTGAAAGACCTTTCGCGGTTACTCACTGCTGGGGTCAGGAATCAGGAAAGGATTGAAGTTATGTTTTTTAAGGAACGTGATATAGTGCGCAGTGATGGTCGTGATGCTCGACAACATGGGAGGTTCAACTTTATTTTTACCTCTATTTCTCCCCCCCCCCCCAAATCGAGTCCTCAACTACAGTAATCTCTCAATCCTTTGATTTGTACACCGTACAATTACATTTTGGATAAAACAACAACATACTATCATCTGTTGTTATTGTCATATTAGTTTTTCACGTATTTCTATTACTAAGATTATTATTTTTGTTATTAGGCTATTATATCATCGTTCCCCATTTAACCTTAAGAGAAAACAAAAAGAAGTTATCAAAACAATAAGTGTCTTCTGTGTGTAATGATTAAAGCAAACAAAATGTATGTATGTTGAAAACGTCAGTTTTGGTTCATTCGATGGTGGTGTACCCTCACAGTCCATTGTTTGCTGTAAAAAAGTAGTGCTGTTGCCATCCTGTTTGTACTTCCTTCATTTCAATTTTTTATGTATCTTTTTCATATTAAATAATATGACATATTGTGCTTTATTTTCGTACTTTGTTTTAGTTGCTGTTGTTGTTGTTGTTGTTGTTGTTGTTGTTGTTGTTGTTGTATGATCTGCTATTCACTGATGAATTCTATTTTGTCAGCTTTTTTTAAACGTCAATTTTCTTCTTTTATAACTGCCAGATCAGATCATAGTCCACACTTCATTTATCTCATGGGATGTCCTCAAAAACACAATACGTTTTTCTGTATTTTCCCCGACATCCATCCTGTTCTTATTCTCCGAGTAACTTGGTCTACCTCTGACTTTTTAAAAAACTTTTTATTTCTCACTTGAGAGCAAGATGGCCAAAGCCTTTATATAGATCCATGTGTTCTATATAAGGCCCACATCTGTTCTTCCTCGTCGTTTTGACAAATGACCGTCCCACACCGGATTCTTTCAGTTCTGACTTATTTAGTTTTTTTGTTTCTTCCAATTTAATATTTCCCTGTCTCTTCAGAAGCCACAATTAGTTCTGTAAGTGTAACTCCTTATTCTGTATCATTAACAATTATAATTTTTTTCCCTCTTTAATCACAAGCTTCTTTCAGCAGTGATATTTTCCTTCATGTTCAATTTTTTTCAGACTCCCCAGAAACCATTATTTCGTTGTGTAATTGTAATCTTTCATTCTGTATCAATAACCATAAGGAATTTAAACAAAAATCGCAAGCCCTTTAAATTTGACTTTTTCCTGTAGTTATTTCTTAGAATTGTACAAGATGAATGAAAATAATATTACAATTATTCAGCTCTCATGGAGCCAAAGGAAAGATATTTTTCACATATATTACAAAATGTCATCTTCCTACTCATTTTAGCAGCCAGAAGTTAGCATAGGCTGAACACCTGAGTTCCATTCTCGGGAGGGAAAGATTTTTTGTGAAATATCAACATCTGTCTATCTGCATCTTGTCTCTCTCGCAGGCTCGATTAGAACGACGCAGCCTGTCTCCTACATTATCTAAATTTTGTGGATGGGCGTAATACATTTTACAATCGAAGAGCTCAGGGGAAAAACGATGGTAGTCACAAACTGGAAACTGTGAGGGTACCAATTTTAAAAGCTTGTGGACTCATAACTTCATATTTGTTTGACTGGTGGTTTATTGTTAAGTGTTGTTGAATGGGAAATCTAACTACAACAATCAACCAACAATTGAACAGAAATACAGTTATGAGTCAACAAGCGTTCAAAATTGGTTCCCTCACGATTTCCAGTTTGTGGCTGCAGTCGTTTTCCCCCTGTAGTCTTCAATTACAATTTCTAAAGAGCGAGCCAGTGTATAATTTCTCTGTGTTTTTATCTGAACAAAGCTAGCTAGCCACTGCAACCTTTGGAACCTTTCGACTTTTGTTTGATCTGTTTCTTTTATAGCTCACACATGTGCAAAGCTTGAGTCGTGGTCTGCAACGCCCTTAATCAGATCTGTACATGTTACAACTATATTTTCTGCATTGTTGATTTTTTCGTAACAAATAAATCAGAAATGGTAATTACCAGTGACTCACTGCATTGTGTTTACAGCCTGATTTCATCATGTTCTCAGGAAGAGTGGACAAAACGAGCTTCCTATTGTACTCATGTCCATGTACATGGAATTTCTTGTAAATTGTTTTACACCTCCATTGTCCCAACTGGGGGTGGGCTGCTCTGATTAGGCTTTGAAACATTTCCATATTTACAATTACAATGACATTCACCATTTGATTACAGTGTCGCCTCGAAAAATTGATATCTCAGTGCCGCTCTACGTGCAGTAAACTACACCTAATGGGCAACCCTTGTGGCAGAGTAGCCTGAGTAAGATGGAAATAATCCTCATATCATTTTATAGCCTCGCTTATTATTCTTGTGACTTATAGTATAGTAAGTTTATACGCCAACTTCACACAATTTAGATCCTTTTTTTTTGCTCTATCCATTCGGAGACAGTCGTTAGATTCAGAGGTAGTGAGTGCCTCTTATGTAATCTAGTCTTACTACATGTATGATGTTGGGAGGGGCGTTAAAGTTATACTATACTATGACAATTTCGATCATTCAAAAGGAGTGGGTTTGAGGGGGGGGGGGTGCGTTGGCTCTGTGTCGGAGCCGAACCTGGACTGAGTGTAACAATGCAATGTTCACATGTATTTTAAAATACTTTTTGTAAGTGTTTTACGGCGCTGGCAACTGCATAAGATCATAATGAGCACGCGGGACACATTGAACATTTTCAGTAGGTAGGACATTTTGAATTTTGCTCGGTTGGCGGCCGAAGCCTACTCTTATCGATTTTGGACCACCAAGAGATTTTTAACAAGCACAACCTGCGCACAGGACCTCCGAGATTTTAAAAACCTTTTCCGATAAGGCTAGGGGTTAGATCTTACCTATCATAAGATCAGGGGTGTGGCTGAAAGACAGAAGTAAGAAGGGGCCAAGGAGTAACAGTAGAAAGGTTGCAGAAAGAGTTTGGAGTCCAGAGGAGGGGCCAAAGGAGGTGGGGTGGTGGGGATGAGAATTGGAGACAAAAGCATACGACAAAACAGTTTTAGAGAGCAGGAAAGGGAAACTTCAACAGAGACATTGAAAGAAGCGTGAAAACAACATTGTAAGACAACAGTGTCAGGTTGGAATATGTTACATTGTACTTGATCGAGTCATTACTGTTTTATTTCCACGTCTTGTAAAATAACTAACGTGCAGAACTTGGGATGATGGGTGGTGGGAACAGACACGGTTATTAATACAGTGGTGGGGGTTTTGTTTTCAGAGCATTCAGGCAAAGAAATGTGAGGTGTGCTGACTAAATGAGTTACTTCTCGGAATTTAGCCTTATGGAAATTGATACATCAACTTTGTAGGTGGAGTTTGTACACTTTGTAAGTATGGAATAATAAAAGACACGGTAGACTTGAAAAAAAAATGGCATCAATTGAAAATCTATAAATCTGACCTCAGTGTCAATTTTCATCCGATATCTCCATTTTTAGATTGTGAGAAGTAACTCATTTTGTCAGCTTGCCTCACATTATTTAATAAGTGGCGAACCATTCTGTAGCCAATGTTTGTACCAGATCTTGCTTTTGTTGGAGAGGGAGAAGAAGGGAGAGGAGCCACGGCGTGTCAGAAAGTGTTGGAGCCGTCTCTAGGAAGGAGAACCACAATTATCTCCCTTCCTCCAGACGAGAACTCATGACGTCATGGCATCAGGTGGCAAGGAATCTCTTCCGTGGTCATTTCTTACTGTGAACAAAAGGCAAGATGAGCTAAACCAGTCTTTAAAAAAAGCAGAAAAGAAAACAACGACAACTACAACAACAACAACAACAACAAAAACAAGAACAACCCCCCCCCCCAAGCCTGAGACAAACAAACAGAAGATAGTGAATGAAAGAAGAAAAAAAGAAACTCATACGGAGGCGAAAATACCAAGCTCCATTCTTCTTTCTCTATAGGACGATAAACAAAAACAACCACCCCGCCTAAAACAAAATTTAAAAATCCGAAACGAAAACTCAAACAAAATACAAAAACAAAAAAAATCCCCCCGAAAAAACAACAACAGGTTGGTAGATGTAAATGGCCCAACACATTAAGCTTACCTCATTTTACTAACCAATTGACGCAATTTTCATAAGAATGGGCACAGGAGGAAAACAACAGCAACAACAACAACAGCAACAACAACAGCAACAACAACAACAACAACAACAGCAACAACAACAACAGCAACAACAACAGCAACAACAACAACAACAACAACAAGAGAGGCGGTGGCCCTGGCGAAAAGCTTGCTTTTCTCATCTCCAAACATTTCGAACGGATAGGCTACCACACACACACACTCTCTCTCTCTCTCACACACACACACACACACAACAACAACAACAACAACAACAGAAACAACAACAACAACAACAACAGAAACAACAACAACAACAACAGAAATAACAACAGCAACAACAACAACAACAACAACAGCAACAACAACAACAACAGCAACAACAACAACAACAACAACAACAACAACAACAACAACAACAACAACAACAACAACAATGATCGTGAAATTCCATCAGTGACTTACCGCGTAAGTGAATTCCTTGCTAACCCTTAGAATGTGTGGGGTGTAGGGGTCTGGGGACTTGCACTGAATCTGTGGGAGTTAAAAAAGGAATATGATAAACTGGGTGTATTTGTGTGTATGTGTGTGTGAGAGTGTGTGTGTATGTGTGTATATGTCTGTGTATGTGTGTGTGTGTGTGTGTGTGTGTGTGTGTGTGTGTGTGTGTGTTTGTGTGTGTGTGTGTGTGTGTGTGTTTGTGTATGTGTGATTGTGTGTTTGTGTGTTTGTGTTTGTGTGTGTGAGAGAGTGTTTGTGTATGTGCGTATATGTCTATGTATGTGTGTGTGTGTAAGTGTGTATGTATGTGTGTGTGTGTGTGTGTGTGTGTGTGTGTGTGTGTGTGTGTGTTTGTGTGTGTGTGTGTGTGTTATTATATGAGTCACTTCCTTTCTGCTTCTGCCTGTTAACTACTGTCGAACCTGTGTAAGACGGCCATGCATTGTCGAGGGGGGAAGTGGCCGTAAAAGACAGGTTAGTTTTTTTTTCTTTCAAAATGAAGGTTCCAGGAAAGGTCAAAACAAAACGAAATGTGAGGCATGCTGACAAAATGGGTTACTTCTCACAATCTAAACATGGAGATATTGGCTGAAATTTGACACTGAGGTCAAATTTATAGATTTTCAATTGATGCCTTTTCCCCCATCAAGTCTACCGTGTCTTTTATTATTCCATACTTACACATTGTACAAACTCCACCTATAAAGTTGATGTATCAATTTCCATAAGGTTAAATTCCGAGAAGTAACTCATTTAGTCTGCACACCATAGAAGTGGGTGGTTGGCGGGTGCTCTGGTGTGGTCTGCTTCTTCTTTCCTGTCAAAGATCTATCGTCCTGATCTCCCCTTTTTCTTTTTTATGTTTGTTACTCTCTTGTAACACCTCTAATCTTCTGGCGCTCATATGACCTTATGCAGTTGCGAGTGCCGTAAAACCTCTACTAAAACTAACACCATAGAAATGTTTCAGACGAGGAAGGCCAAGTGTCATAGTCAAACAAACAAATGGGTCGCCAGCACTTGGCGAACGAGCGACACTTCCTTTGCGAGTTTGTGTTGACTTCCATTGTTATGGACTGAGTTTACGGACTGAGTTGTGGGTGGGGCTTATAGGTTATGACGGATCACACGCTTCCCTTACCGGCAGCTGAAAATTTATTGTTACCCATTGGTCAACTTGGGTAGACATTGGGAGTGACCTAAGCAACATGACCGTTTCATCCATTGGAGGGACTAACAATAACGACAGGTGAATGGAGGGACTGACAATAACGACAGGTGAATGAATTATGACGGCTTGTCCACAGCATCAGGGGAAAATACATAATTTTTGACAAAGTCTGGCCGTCTTAGGCAGGTAAATTTGGCTGTGGGTTGATAAAATAGGGTGGCCGCGGCTGCGTTGGACAGGTGACCTCTTTACACAGTTAAATTATATAGGAAAAAAAAGGAAGGGGGAATGGAAAGTGGCCGTTTGTACAGGTGGTCGTCTTATAGAGGTGGCCGTCGTGGCAGGTTCGACTGTACATGTAACCTTAAGACCTTCTTTGTTAAGCCCCTGTGCTTGATACTAACACAGTGCTACATTAGTCCACATCAGTCTAGCTCTCAGTTGCTCCCGAGAAAGCCTGCGGGGCGAAACGTCGAGCCGATTCCATAAACAAAATTTGAAAAACACGTACATGTATTTCATATTTATATTTTTGACTGTAAATCAATCAACCCCCCCCCCCCCCCCTTAACCTACTCCGCTTTTGAAACAATGATGATGATGATGATGATTTTTTTGGTTTCCTTAATGGGCCTGGCGGACTCCAAGAAGAAATTTTCGAGCGAGAGCGAGGCTCTTTTTCGGCTCCATTGTCGCTTTACTCAGAGACACCTCCACTCGTCCAAATAACTCAATACGAGTTGCCATTGTTCCTGGACATTCAAACATATATTTGATGTCCTCTTTTTCATGGTTTGATCTTCGGCAACGTAGGCTGAGCTCTTCATTCATAAAGTTCTGATACCATCTCATGCTCCAATGGTGGTCCGACCGCAGTCTCGCTAGCTCAACCTGGTCCCAGCGACATGTGATAGATTTTTGTTCCCGCTTACAGGAGTACCCAGAATACACATCCCAGGTGCTGGTACTTAGTTCTACATGGTGTGTCTCTGATTTCTCTCTTGATCATTGGAAAGACTCCTCTGTATGTTGTTGGTCGTCTGTCTCCTTCGATCTCTCTGGCTTCATTAGCAGCTTGATCTGCTGCCTCATTTCCTTCTATTCCAACATGGCTTGGAATCCACTGGATTTTTATTGTGTCTCTGGCTTCACCGAACTTTCGGCGCACATCATTTATGTCCGAGCTGTTGCCCAGCAGCCCCTTGCAGAGGGACTGACTGTCAGTCAAGATCAGCACATTGGTCCTACTGTGGCAATTGTTAGCAATCCATTGTGCAGCAGACATCATTGCCTGGCATTCCTCGTCATAAGATGATGATGATGATGATGATTATGATGATGATGATGATGATGATGATGATGATGATGATGATGATGATGATGATGACACGGCCACTCACAATTACAGCCCTGTCGCTCTTCACTGACGTCATATCAAACTCGGCCTTTGACTGGCCTGGCTGCAAAGTGACGTCACGAATCTGAATGCCGTTGAGGTACCACAGCACGTGCTGGTCAACCGTAGACTGACCCACGTGACACGCTAGCCTTGACCTTGTGAACGGGGCTTCTAGGTTCAAGGTCACGTCTTCTGGTCGTAAGGGAACGTTGATACCTGGCGGGGAGGGGGGTGAGAGGGTAATGGGTGGGAGGGGGTGAGAAGGTAATGGGGCTGCTGTTTTCTTGAATGGGAAGTGGGGCATGCACACAGGACTTGAGCCGCGCGCGCGTGCGCGCACACACGCACACACGCATACTCACACATATACACACATACATACACATATGTACATATACGCGCACACACACACATTCTCACAAACATACACACACATACACATACACATATGCACATACCCATACACACATACACAAACACATACACACAAGCACATACACACACACACACACACATACACATGCACATACATACATGCACATATACGCCCATACTCAGACATATACACACACATATACAGAAAGAGGCTAAGAGCAAGAAAGAGATAGAGCGTGTGTATTTGTGCGCGCGCACGCGTGTGTGTGTGTGTGTGTGTGTGTGTGTGTGAGAGCGAGAGAGAGAGAGAGAGAGAGAG